GGTTTTTTTTAGAAAAAACGGTGCATTACTTCAAAAAAAAAGGAGAAATTATCAGGGAAGAGAAAACACCATTCCAAGTTATGCTGTGACAGAGGTAAAACCAGAGAGGCAGTTGAGTCACCCTGATCCGGAAAAGAGGTGCTATCAAACAGAGGACAATATAACTCTCCACTCTCCCACTTCGCCTCTGTAAATGCAGCCTGGTCATCAATAACTTCTATTTCCGACTTCTCCTGTCTTTTGCAGCAAATACTTCCACAAATAAATATTTCCACAAAATAAAGACGTAGCAAAGGCCTCGCCGACATATTTCCTTTCCAGCAACATCCTTCTTCGGGACAGGCCTCCGCCCTTAGTCAATAATTCACAGAACTCCCCGTAGCATAGTTGTATGGTGGAATATACCAACACATTCAAAGAACACGTGAGGTAACGAGGCTTTAAAATCGCCGAAAAGGTGAGGAGGTTCATCGGCAAGAGACGGAGAGAGAGAGAGAGAGTTGGTACTTTTTTGCAGGTGCCAGTGGATGGTTAAGGGCAAAATTTGATTTATCGTGTTCTGAATCATTCTGAAAACCAACGTGCTCCATCTTCTGCCGTTCATCAAGGAGTCTTGTTAGTCAGAAACACTAACCCTGGCCAAAAAGCGCTTTTTGTGCCCTCTTCTCTCTCTTTCTCTCTTCCCCTCTCTAGCCTCCCGCCTACCCTAAACAGCTCTGGAATAGGAAAATATGACACTCATAAGGCTTTACTGAAAAACTGTTACAAAAATGACAACAGTTCAATAAAATTGCTAAGTGGAATTTCAAAAACCAGTGTCATTCAGCAATACCAGTCATCAGGCTCCAAATACGGAGTGGCCAGTTGCTGAGTTAAAGAACACGATTCACCTGAGAGCACAATGGTTGTATCAAGAACATTTTCGATCGAGGCGCATGGCTGCGTTTCTCTTCCTCCTTCAGCTTCAGGATTAGGTAATGAATCCATGCCACAGAACAGCAAAACAACATCTGTGAACGGAAAGCGGAAAGTGCAGCTGAAAATGCGCAAAGCTAAGGGGTTATTCAAAGATTCAGTATCGTTGTTTTATCAACAGCGCTGACTGTTTTCTAGAAATGATTGCAATGATAACAGAGAGTGCATGCAGATTTGCGTCCGCAGGAAAGACAAAGGCTACAGAGAAATATAGTGGTGGGAGAGGTACAAAACGCGTACTGCGAAGTAAATGAGACATTCAGATGTTTGGTCACTTAAGGCAGCGTTCGATGCACGAGAGTCTTAAAAATTCAACGAAAGAGCCTGCAAACGCTCGTAAATTTTCCATGAAAATCAATGCACTGATGGTGTAAGCGCCCATTAGCTGTACAAGCAAGCAACAATATATGCAAAAAGGACAAGTTCCGCTTCTGTCTGCGCATCAAAATCGTTCATACTCGTAAAGGGCAAGAAAAATGATGCAGGGATCCAGCTAAAAGGCCAAATTATGCGATAAAACTGCGAAATTACCTGTAAAATG